TTATTCCAGGTAAATCCGATTTAATATGGCATCAAATGTACCCGCATCTCTGAAGCCGATCGCTCATTACATCAAAATCGCTAACGAGAATTCTAGTCGGGATCCTGTTGTGTATTACTGGTGTGAGTTGTCTTTCCCTTGCCATAAAAACCGCTGGTGTAGTTGTTGCGGTACTGTTAGTATCAGGTCTTTTCTACGCTGTTCAAAATGCGATGCATTTGGATAAAAGTTCGCCAGAAGCGCTGAAGTTTCTCACCGGTTTGCTCAGTACGTTGGAGACTATTAAGAAGCAGTTGGTTGGCAACGAGGCGATAACTAACGAGGTTCGTCTGATTCGGAGATGTTACGTATCGACTAAAATGAGTTTAAGGTGGTAGCACAAGCTCATCTCGAGAACTTCGCTCTGAGCTTTTCAATTTTGCTGAGATGTTCGAGAAAAAGCGGGTCAGGTTGACAAGAGTGTTGTGCATGCCTTTTACACTGCAGGACACATTATGGACGTGCTTTCGCTTTTCGGTGAGGTGAGTCTTTCTTCCCGGAGTCAATTTTTTCATTCATGTGCTGACACCGTTACGATATTTTGTTATAGAACATTTCTATAGATAAAGGGATAAAGCATTTGCCGTTGATCAATCTCTTTTTGGGATGCGGTCTATCCAAATCTCTATCCAAACTGGAAGATCCTTTGAAGGGAGTGTGAAGAGTTCCGCTTACTTGTTTCAACTTCTAAGGAGGCCCGGACTGGCAGCGCTTCCATAAAGAGCGGTCGGTTATCCTTTGGTCGCTTTGCAGCTCGCTTGCAGTCTGAGTATGGAGTAGATATTTAATGTTCGATCGCAACGCGAAGAATGTGGAACACGCTGCGATTCGTTTGGAACTATTTCTTACTTACATATTGATTTTGATTGTCGGAAAAGTTTTGCAAAAAATTTCAAGCTCCCTCATCTTGAAACCTCGGCATTCTTGATGTTTTTATTGCAGTCATAAGTTGTACTTCTTCCTCGATGTTTTCAAGGTGGAAGTTTGTTCTGGCCAACGTTTCGACCGTCGTTTTCAAAGGCCTAAACATGGCTCGAAGCTTCGAAGTACACACTACCCCATCAAACGCCTCCTCCCCTTTAGCGCGTGTTGTGACGTACCGCCAGGGGCGCCATGGAAAAAGCACAGAAAATAAGCCAAAGACATTGAACAAAGACAAGCCTAGCTTGTTCCACCGCGAAGTGTAGCGAAGTGTAGCGAAGCAGTACATTCATTTAGTAAACATTAGTAGCGAATGATGGTATTTTGCTGTCCCTAAGTATCAGTATAGCGGACAAGCACGTTCGCCAACCATGGAAGGAACTTGCAATGTTGCATGAAAGAGATCATTTGTGATAGGCACGCATTTTGGTTATTCATTTCTGGATTTCTGTCTGAAATCTGGCTTTTTTCTGGCTATAAGGTCACCGTCCGCTGAAAACCCCGTAAAAACTGGCAGCTTTCCAAGCCTAAACTTACGATCTGGCAACTTGCCAACTTTTGAGCGCCATGGACACTCTGTATGTCTGACTCCCCTGGGACGCCCCGCGAGCATACCTTACGGCTGCCTTCGGGGACGCCATTCTCGGGGAGACCCGAATAGGGACGTCCCAGCCCCGAACAGGAGAGCATAACTTACGGCCCCTTCTGTATACTCTCATGTTCTGAGATGCGCCACGCGCATCTCAGAACATGAGAGTATACAGAAGGGGCCGTAAGTTATGCTCTCCTGTTCGGGGCTGGGACGTCCCTATTCGGGTCTCCCCGAGAATGGCGTCCCCGAAAGCAGCCGTAAGGTATGCTCGCGGGGCGTCCCAGGGGAGTCACACATACAGAGTGTCCATGGCGCTCAAAAGTTGGCAAGTTGCCAGATCGTAAGTTTAGGCTTGGAAAGCTGCCAAGTTTAGGGTTTCAGCGGATGGTGACCTATAGCCAGAAAAAAGCCAGATTTCAGACAGAAATCCAGAAATGAATAACCAAAATGCGTGCCTATCACAAATGATCTCTTTCATGCAACATTGCAAGTTCCTTCCATGGTTGGCGAACGTGCTTGTCCGCTATACTGATACTGTATAGGGACAGCAAAATACCATCATTCGCTACTAATGTTTACTAAATGAATGTACTGCTTCGCTACACTTCGCTACACTTCGCGGTGGAACAAGCTAGGCTTGTCTTTTGATTTCTGGGTTTTTCCATGGGCCCCTGGCGGTACGTCACAAACGCTAAAGGGAGGAGGCGTTTGATGGGTAGTGTGTACACTTCTAAGCTTCGAGCCATGTTTAGGCCTTTGAAAACGACGGTCGAAACGTTGGCCAGAACAAACTTCCACCTTGAAAACATCGAGGAAGAAGTACAACTTATGACTGCAATAAAAACATCAAGAATGCCGAGGTTTCAAGATGAGGGAGCTTGAAATTTTTTGCAAAACTTTTCCGACAATCAAAACATATGTAAGTAAGAAATAGTTCAAAACGAATCGCAGCGTGTTCCACATTCTTCGCGTTGCGATCGAACATTAAATATCTACTCCATACTCAGACTGCAAGCGAGCTGCAAAGCGACCAAAGGATAACCGACCGCTCTTTATGGAAGCGCTGCCAGTCCGGGCCTCCTTAGAAGTTGAAACAAGTAAGCGGAACTCTTCACACTCCCTTCAAAGGATCTTCCAGTTTGGATAGAGATTTGGATAGACCGCATCCCAAAAAGAGATTGATCAACGGCAAATGCTTTATCCCTTTATCTATAGAAATGTTCTATAACAAAATATCGTAACGGTGTCAGCACATGAATGAAAAAATTGACTCCGGGAAGAAAGACTCACCTCACCGAAAAGCGAAAGCACGTCCATAATGTGTCCTGCAGTGTAAAAGGCATGCACAACACTCTTGTCAACCTGACCCGCTTTTTCTCGAACATCAGCAAAATTGAAAAGCTTCAGAGCGAAGTTCTCGAGATGAGCTTGTGCTACCACCTTAAACTCATTTTAGTCGATACGTAACATCTCCGAATCAGACGAACCTCGTTAGTTATCGCCTCGTTGCCAACCAACTGCTTCTTAATAGTCTCCAACGTACTGAGCAAACCGGTGAGAAACTTCAGCGCTTCTGGCGAACTTTTATCCAAATGCATCGCATTTTGAACAGCGTAGAAAAGACCTGATACTAACAGTACCGCAACAACTACACCAGCGGTTTTTATGGCAAGCGAAAGACAACTCACACCAGTAATACACAACAGGATCCCGACTAGAATTCTCGTTAGCGATTTTGATGTAATGAGCGATCGGCTTCAGAGATGCGGGTACATTTGATGCCATATTAAATCGGATTTACCTGGAATAAATCATAGAAAGTTTTGTTCACAAACAACAGATGATTTCGACAAACTTGAGCTGAGGGCAGTGGAGCAGGACTTGAAAGATAGTCAGAGGGTCTATTCCAGTTAGGGGGGCATCATGATGCAGTTTCTCGGCGAGCTAATGTAAACTCGAACATTCCAGCTTTTCACGCATGTCAAGTGACTGCCCTCACCCCCACCCCCCTAGGCTGGCTACACTCCCCCTGGCTCAGAGTTACCGTAGCTTTTTGGGAGTCACCGCACCATGATGCCCCCCTAACTGGAATAGACCCTAGTCAGATTTTATTAGAAGCACTCAAATTTGAAAAACGACAGTCTACAATGAACAAGGATTTGAGAAAACCGTGTCAGGGCGTGGTCACTTCGCTCGAAAAAAGGAAAATCGAAAACGTAGAAACAGCCACACTTGACGGAAGTCTAGCCCAACTTCACATACTGCACAACTTTAGAGGTATACGAGATTAGAGGAGTTCATAGGAGATCTCAGGAGCCTAACAAAATGTATGGATTAATATGCAACAATAGAGAGATGTTTGAAATACTCGAGTCTCGTGTACGGAACCCGTCACTGTGCAGCAATTGCACCCACACAAAAAAAAACTCGAACTTTGCTTATTTCTCTCAAGGGTTATTTAGAACGCTGATCAGGAATATGATGACCATATTGAGCTGGAAAATGAGATAGTCACATTTGACATCTGCCACTGATGGTGTGGTTCGCTAGTACAGAAAGCAAGTTTTTCGCTTTTGTAGTGCGAAACCTTTTCGCTGAGAAAACCGTAGGTTCACTCATGATCAACGGTGAACCTGGGGTTCCCGCAGTGAGAAAATTTCAACGTTGGGAAGTACGAAACAGTGTTTGAACAAACCACACCCCCACTTAGACAGCACATCAACTTTGCGCAGGTGTCAGAATTTCCGAGTTAGCGACCAATCGGAAGGAGGGAATCGCGCGATTCGCTTCGCAGTCTTATGATTGTCTGAAAGATCCAACATCTACCTAAGCATAAAACAAAGGCCATAACTTGCGCCTGCCTTGCAGTCGCTTGCTGTTCATCTTCGCTGCTCGCTTGAGTTTGGATTAGCTGCAACCCAACTGCAAGAAAGACAACAAGACATAGGCGCGGCCTAGCGGATAAGGACGCTCAAGACTGGGTGATGTTGCAAACTGGAGTGTGTGACAAAATACGATGAGAGAGCGCTGATAAGAAAAAACGAATGTCGCCAGATACAGCGCTGACAGCCAAAACAAATATCACAGTCTCAACAACTTAATAGCTTTTGGCTATCGAATAGTGTCGAAATCCCCTCTTCGACACCTAACTCAGAAAAAAAGTAATCACACGAAGCAGGACGTAGCAGTACGGAATCAATAAGCTAATGAGTCATCTGCAAAGTTACCGCAATAAATGCCGAACAACAGCTTCGAACACAAGCGATAAACATAATTAATTTCTTTATAAATTGAGTCACATATCACATTTCCTATCACAACAGAAAACAAAAACCCATTGGAGCAACTCATCTTATGTACATTATCGAGTACTAACATGTACTGAATACAATCGAATGAACATCCAGACAAATTAATTACACCTTGGAAAATGTTGATATAATTCTCCACCATTCACCTGTAGAGTCTAACCAATTGACATCGAAGCATCACAGTTATTTTCTTTATGGAATAGATCGAGAAAAAAACTCCGAAAGCACATAATCTCATACATTTTCACAGTCTACCATAGAAACTTACGGTCTCACTAACATTATAAGGATACCCCAGTTGGCATTAGAGGATTATAATTGTGAAGATTCACAGAGAACATGATCAGGAGTTTGATAAAGCACCACCACCGCTGCCACCTTGTAGAATTCCACCTGCATCATGCATCTCTGGAGTATAAGTTAGAACTATGAAAAACACCCAAAGATGCACAAGTACAAAGTAGATTGCCACAAAAATACGGGCCGTTGGATAATTTCGCAGTACCGAAATCATTCTGAACATAATTGTATCAACAACCGTGACAGCTTGCTTCGCAGCTGGATGATGGATTGGTAACGAAGCCGAAGGCGGATCTATTGGTATCACCGTTTCACGTGCGGATTTCTGAAAATGGACGTATATTTTCACATGAAAATGGAAAATGATTACATGATGACACAGCAGCAATTTCAGCCAATTTGTATCACTGTCTAACAAGTTAAGACGTTTTCGTTTTCGAATATTTTTTCCTGTAGAATTCCATTTCCTACATCCTCATATTCCTTTCGACGGGTATTTATGAATCCTACAAAAACATGCGAACATTCCGCAATTCTGCATAAACTAGGAATAGGTTGAAGCTCCGACCTGCAGAAGGTAGGCACAGGATACACCTGCAACCAAGTCAATATTCCATTAGCAGAAATGACGAAAGATGTGTAGTGTACTTAACCACAATCTTTGAATATTCTGCTACTGACAAGGGAAGGAAGGTAGGTCGAAGTGGCCGTTCGAAATGAAATGTATACCTCCTGATGCATCTCCAGACGCTGATTCCAAATCTGCCTTCCAAATCTGCTAAACGGCTCTCCGAACGGAGTTATGAAGCGTAATAGCTCAGTGGTGATGGTCCGGGGTGGCAGGTAAAGCGCCCGTACGGCATGCGGTTCGCGTTTGCCCACATATTGCTAGTTTGCTTTGCTTTTGTCCGCAACACTTCTAGAGCAAAGCAAAGCAACCAATTTGCAAAGGAACCGATCCTACGAGCTTTTACCTGCCACCCCGGACCATCACCACTGAGCTATTACGCTTCATAACTCCGTTCGGAGAGCCGTTTAGCAGATTTGGAAGGCAGATTTGGAATCAGCGTCTGGAGACGCATCAGGAGGTATACATTTCATTTCGAACGGCCACTTCGACCTACCAACTTCGTATAACTTTACTCCTTGTCAGGTGCCGACAGCCTCCCCGTGTGTCTTTTCCCAAGGACGTTTTTTCTTCGCCCATTCCAACACGCAAGCCGCACGATATTTTTTTTTAAATTAGTAATCTTATCACTACCAAACGCAAGTTGTCAACGCTCCATAGATACTACTCAACAAACTCTTCTCTGTTATATTCGTGGGTTTCTATCAATAACGTTCTGACTCCCCAAGTCAAGATGCCAAGCGAAGTAATAGGCGATCCGATAGTCCGCTGTCCAACAGTCACATATTTTTGTAATCCTTTACCGTCATTGAATTATTTGCACACTAGTTTATCAGGCTTCGACGTGAAGGACATTGGGTTACGTGTTCTAAAGTATAGTTCTCTTAGAATCCCTGTCGCCAATTTAATTATTATCGTCTAAAGGAAAGTTTCAACCATGAAAATTATGACCACAACTATGAAAAAGTCCACATATGGTTCAGCGTAATATCCATCTCCAGAATTTGCACGCATTAAGGAGATAGGCAGGTGGCCATTCATTGGTACAGAATTAGAGCTATCAAAGTGACGTGGAAGAACTTCTGTCCGACACATCACAGGTGGTGGAGAAGAGTCCGGCAAAGGAAGGATTTTTGTTTTTCCTGTATTGACTTTGTCACTGCTGGTAGAACTTCCTACTCCTCAATCGTCTTCGAGCGAAAATTCAAGGGCTTGACAATGTTTGACTTTGGTTGTCAGTAGTTCCGCAATATTGCACCTATGCTACTGCCGCTCATAGATTAGTTAACACACTGCACCTATTTTTCTGCTAATGCTGGATAGTCAAGAGAAAGAATGATGGAAACGAACAGAATGTGGTGTTGGGGTGGAGCGGGTTCAGCGCATAAGAAACAAAACTCCACAATTCCAAATTTTTAGAGTGTCCAACCAACCATCATTCAGACCGACGTCATATTCGGCGACGGTCCAAGCGATGGGGCGCGATCGCTCCATCGATTGGCAATCGCTTGCGCAATGTGCACAAGCGACGGGCGATTGGCCCCGCCCCCAGTCAATGCAGTCGGCTGCGGTATCGATCGAGCAGAGCCATTGCCCGTCGCTTGTGCACTTTGCAAGCGATTGCGCAATCGCTTGCCAATCGCTCGACCAAGAGCGATTGGCAATAATGAGATGGTTGGCGTAAATAAAAAGTCAACCCGAGTAGAATAACCACCGGTACACCGCTGATTGAATTAGCGTGCCTTTGCCTATCTTGAGATTGATTCGTTATGTAACCTGGCGTATGAAAGACCCTAATCGGTAGGGCACAATGTGACTCGAGGGGGACAGCCGCCGCGCGCGGCGTTGCGGCAACAGGAAATTCGTGAGCCAGGGGGAATGTAGCCAATTCAGGGAGGTCGGGGGCAGGGTCGGTCCTATCGTTGTTACTTTCTGGATTTTTTTACGACCCCCCCCTGTGTGTAGCTCAAAGTGGTGATAAGATTACTTAAACAATAATAATCGTATAAATACAGAACTTCTTTAGACAAGAATGCTGAATTTCGGTTCAAATTTCATAAAAGACGAGTTACCGTTCCGAAAAACAGCGTACGCATGGAATTTGGACATAAAGTCATTTGTGACGCGGACCTCATGGCTGAGGGCTAAAGGATTGACAGGTTTTGAATGTGGTGGATCGCGCCCTCGGTGACTGCAATGGGGCGCGTTTGTTGAATGGGAACAGGTGTCGAAAGGGGAAATTGAGAAGTAGAGGAATTTTTCCTTGTAAAATTTCAGGTTCCTCGGAAGACGGAGGTGGATTCTGGATCACCGACGGTCATCCTTCTTAAGTAGAGCGGATTTGTTCTTAAACAATCTGAAATAATTAAGTTATTGAGCAAGAAATGAATTTGCACTACAATTTTTACCTTCCTCTTTCTAGGGCTATAACTTCCTTCATATTCGAGCTTTTGCGCCGAAGTTATTTGATTTGAAAAATTCAAATTATTCTCTCTCCAATCATGGCTAAAATTCTTCGAAAGTTAATTTAATAAAAATTTAGTACGTTGTTACTTTTTTCTGTGCAAAGCGACTTTTCAACCTTTAAACGATCATAACTTCCTTCAAAGTCATTCATTTGGGAAGCTGAACACGGTATGAATAAACTACAGGATTCAAGCTTTCTAAAAAGCACCCAAACGTTCTGAAAAGTCAGCAGTTCAAAAATTAGTCCCGTTGTTACTTTTTTGGAGGGGCATTCTCCAAGCCATTTTCTTGGGGTTTTTTTAGGTTTCACTGGCCGTAACCTCCAGGGAAAACAATATCGTGTTGACCATAGGATGTGTTAGAATGCTTTGAGCATGCGCTTGCACTGACATCCCCTGCCTTGGTGTGCGCCACGCCTCGGTCGCGCTTCTGATTCGCTGATTCATTTGAAAGCTCATTCAGAAGGAAGCGGCTTTACAGATGCTCTAGCATCAATTATCTTGCGTAAACGTAATGTGGTGACTATTGTCCATGTTGTCTTAGGCAATACTCCAGCTACACTTTAGTTTCAAATGTGGTTTCGTGGGTGGACCCATGTCATGGTGGGAGCACTTTTTTGACGATGCTACATGTCTTGCAGCTGCTGTTTCTGCAAGTCTTCTCATGCTCTTCCTGAAACATGGTTATGATCAGTAGGGAGATTACCACAAATCCCACTGCCGGCCACCGAGAGAGTACGACCCCCCCCCTCCGGGTCCATCCAAGTACGACCCCCCGTTGCTACTTGTAGCAACATAGGGTTGACCCTGGTCGGGGGTGAGGGCAGTCACTTAGCATGCGTGAGAAGCTGGAATGTCCCGTGAGAAGCTGGAATGTTCGAGTTACACTACATCGCTGAGCCGCGCGCGGCGACTGCCCCCCTCCCCCCGAGCCACACTGCGCCATCGATAGTATTAAAGAACGATGCTCAGAAAGTGTCCTCAAGGCTCCTACCATATTTGCGTTCCGTGCGGACAGGGTGAAGAACGTCAACACGCGCTCTGGCGCACAATGCGTACTTGGCGCGCAGTCGGCGCCTCCCTCGATCGATAATCCTAATTTCGATACATTTTTTTCTGTATTTTGACGTTTTGTGTGCCGTTTTGCTTTTTCTTGCGGTTGTTTAGCCCAAAACTTGGTGCTAACTTAGTTGGGGGGGGGGCACGCGGCGGCGCGGCAGTCTGCTCGCCTGGCATGTTCGGAAATCCGTGGGCCAGGGGGAGTGTAGGCAGTCTAGGGGGGTGGGGGGTGGGGGCAGTCACTTGACATGCGTGAAAAGCTGGAATGTTCGAGTTTACACTGTCTCGCTCGAGAGAGCCCAGGTGAGCAGACTGCCGCGCCGCCGCGTGGCCCCCCCCAACTAAGTTAGCACCCAAAACTTTTCCTTTTTGTATGGATTTATTTGTATGTACTGCTTTTGCTAACTAATCCGCTCCTTGTGCCGTGTCGCTCTTGCTCGTGTTTTTTGGCAGAACCTTTTTCTTTTTGTGAATCATTGCTTTTCAACTGTCCTAGAATGGTTAGGTTCATACACTGTGTTTGAAAGTGACAATAAGACCAAGTGGGTTCATTAGTAAGCAAAAGCAGTAATCCATACAAAAAAAAGAAAAGTTTTGAGCTAAACAACCGCAAGAAAAAGCAGAGATAAGCCGTTTGGACAGAGGGAGCACCCGAAGTAGGGCGTGAATTATATTGTTCTGCTGTGGTCACGTACAATGCGCGACGCATTGACGCGTTAAAACGTGTGCTCGCCCTCGTTTTCTCTGCGCTCTCAACGAAGAGAGAACGCGTCAAGCTCGCCAACTGTACTAAGCGCCGTTCGTATAGGAGGTGGAGGATGGACACACGCTCGCATGCGTGACGCTTAGGCTCCCGCGCCGCGCGGAGTGTGGCCGGACGCATAGTCGGTCGGACGACAGCAACGACTGCTGCTGTCGGACGACAGCAACGACTGCAGGTGTCGCATAAACCGCGGTCGCAAATGGAAGGCGACGCGGTCACCCAATGCAAACCCAGACAACACGTGACTGCGCGTGATCGTATTTCGAAAGTCCCACTGTAGTGTGGAATAGTAGCTGCGTATTGATCTTGCAGTCGTTGCTGTCGTCCGACAGCAGCAGTCGGACGACAGCAACGACTGCAAGTGTCGCAGATCGATACGCACCCAATACTGTGCGACACTTGCAGTCGTTGCTGTCGTCCGACCGACTATGCGTCCGGCCTGTACGCTGCGACGCTCGACCACTTTTGGACCGAAGGGGTAGCGTCGTTGTTGGCATGACCTTCAGAATGGCTACCGCAGAAAGCGCGTCGCTGCGAGCGCAATGTACGTGATTGCGGCAGGAACGTCGTAATTCACGCCTTACTTCAGGTGCTCGCTCTGTCCAAACGGCTTATCTTGAAAAAGCAAAACGGCACACAAAACGTCAAAATACAGAAAAAAAGTATCGAAATTAGCATTATCGATCGAGGGAGGCGCCGACTGCGCGCCAAGAGCGCGTGTTGACGTTCTTCACCCTGTCCGCGCTGTCCGCCGGACCGCACGTACCGCAAACTATGAAAGGAGCCTGAGAAAGGTTACTCTCCACAAAGAAGCAATGGGTGGGTGAGCTGCCTAGTTTATTCAAATTGGCCTATGAGAATGCCGTCCCGCAAAGTATGTTATTAATCCAACATTTCTGGTGTCCTGCTTTATGAGTCCGAAAAAAGCCTCAGATGACAACATAAACATGGTGTTGCCCACGCAAGTGTTTGCACACTCCCCTGTACATATAAGTAAAGGCCGCTCTGAAGCCGGTTGCAAAGAATTTTGGTGTTGACCTTGCATCAAGATCGCTGCTCCAAACTGGGGAAATGCGGCGAAAAGAGAGAGAGAGCGTAAGAGTTCCCTGGACAGTTCATGTAGTTTTATTCAAATGATTGTGGCGCAAATTTACTTCAACGTTCATGAACCACTGAAGAATGACGGTTAAAATTCGAGTACAGTTTTATACACGAATATAATTAAGAGGCATAATAACCATATAAAAAGATTTTAAGACTTACCTGTAACTTCTCAAGACGAATAGAAAGTATTTGATTCCTTCGGAGGGCCTCTTCCAGTTCAATTTGCTTCTGTAGAAGACGCTCTCCTAATGACAATCCGTCGGCACTGCGTGCGTCCTCCTCACGTCTCCTGAACAGCAATAAAGGAGAACAGGAAAACTTGAAAACGAGAAGCAAAAAGGAAAACAACAAAAAGGTTTCCTGAGATTTAGAGATGAATGATAGCAGATTACCGTCTCACAACTAACTGTATATTAGGTGGATAAGAGAACGAAAAATGAAAATTAAAGACGCCACCTGGCCCGCTGATCCTCTACATTTTTCCTGAGCTCCGCCTCTTGCGACTCAAGTTTCTTGGCAAAATCTTCATTTTGTCTTTTCATCTCCTGCTTTGCAAATTCACTCTCAATTCTGCAATGAAATACCTTATGTTAGTGAATGACATCCGAATCTGAAATCTATCCTCAATAAGACATCAAAAATGAAAAGCTCACCTCGCACAATCCACTTTTTCATTCAAAAGTGCAACTGTGGCGTGCCAACTTTGCTTCTCCTCCAAATATTGTCTCCTCTGCTCACTTTGTTTTATCTAAAGGGCGCTCAGTGCTGGATTGGAAGCCAACAAGAAAAAGATTTTTATCGAGGTAATAGGCGTGTCAAAAAGTTCTGTTTCGGCTCATATGCACATGTCTCAGCAAAAATAAAATGTTCCCAGTCGTAATAAGAATCATCATAATTTGTATTCTGCTAACGAAGAACGAGTTAGTCCTACATGTTTTTGACGATTACTGGAGCTCTGGAGGCAACTAAATCGGCGAACGTCGTTTCAGCATGTTCATATTGGGTATTTAGAGTATTTCTCTCATGAGAAGCTATTCAGACGGTTGGGAAAGTGAGAATTGCTAGACAAGAGAAGTATTGAGAATGATGGCATAGCCAAATTTCTAGTCATTCAAGTTCAAAATGCGCAGGGTTCGTTATGCGATGTGTGTCCAAGCAACTTCATTTATTGGAGTCGGCCTCTTTATGATGACCCTTGCTAACAACGTAAGTGAAAAATTTCAAGAAGTTTACCCAGAACAAACAAACAAGAACTTTCACACATTTTTGACACCCTTCCGCTAAGCACGAACTTCGAGATTGCGAGATTGATTTCTCCTCAGGGAAAATAAGGTTAGAGCTAGTTGTCGGTTTGGTCAGTTTTTGTGGAAAACCCTGGAATAGAGGTGGAAGATGAACATAACATCTTGTAGAGCAGACAATTCTCTTTCGAATGGTATATAAAGTGATGTAAAAGCTTGAGGATTTAGATGAAAATTTTTGTTTGAAAAAAAAGCGACACTAATTATGAGACAACCTATACATGTGGAATCCGCCAGTGCAAAGTACCTCGTACCATTGATGCCTGCCTAGCCTACATGTTCCTTTGCGGAAAAGACTTGTTCTTCTTCATACGCCCTCACCAGACATGGCGTAGTCAAAAACTGCCTTTGGATGTGGGGACATGATTTGAGCACATAATGACCAGCACTTCTCGACACATCGGGTGCTACTTTCTTGCTCAGCCGCCTCACATGGATGCAGCATAGAATTCGGAACTTCTGCCTTTCTAAGGCTTTCTTACAGGGTGAATAACGGTCGAGGAAATCCTCGACAGGGGGTCGTATTTGCTCCGATGAGAGTTGGGAGGGGGTCGTAATCAAAAGGTTCATCAACGGACACAACGGTGCTGCTGCCACTTATTTGCTGTCATCATTAGTTTCACAAGTGTTGTACTTAGCCTAATGCAAATAACATCTTACAAGTGGTTGTTGGTTTGGTTCGTAGTGATCAGTATGGCATAGGAAGGCAACGCGTCCTGCAAAAGAATCGTAGGGAAAGGGCAGCGAGTATCTACTCTAGAATGATGTACATGCTTCGAGAACTTAGTGGAGGAACAGCATCTTGGTAGAAAGTTCAAAACAGGCAGATTCGCAGCCTTCTTGGCATCATCTGCAACCGCAAGCGTGTCATTCATCAGAACGGGTTGGAAAGGAAGCGATTTGAATAAAGGAATGATCAGACATCACTATGACCACAAGAGTTATCCTAATTAGTTAATACTGGAAATATCTTTTGGTGTGATTAAGCAAGTCGTCACTAGGACAAACACCTCCGAACTGACGCGTACAGAAGTATTTTGAAGGTGTTCAAAGAAGTTCCCTACTACGGCAAGGGAGTAATAGAGTTTTCGAGTGGCTTCGAAAATTTCCTTGACATTTCCTCGACGCAGATTTCTCGCGAACTAGAAAGCGTTCGAAACAACTGGAGCACCTATCAGAAAGCGTAAATCTTCTACTTTACAACGCTTTCCTCCGATTTTCAAAGCATTGCCAATGAAGACAGCTACTGTCTTCCAAAGAGTGGGAACTCGCATGTAAATTTCAATTTCCTCGACAATTTCTCGACGTCTCCCACTCTCGAGAATAGGCGTGCTTAGAAAAACGCTCAGCACAATTTAGAAACTAGAAGTCTTGTGCATTCAAAAGCTGCCTTCACTTTCTGAAATGGTTATCAATGAAGAAAGTTATAGTCCTTTAAATAGGGGGTACATTTGACGATTTTTCCAACTAGCGCGCTCTAGGCACAGCGCGCGACGCGATCGCGGGTAGTTAGCGCCGCTATACTGGAGCGCGAGACTGTTCAACTGTGTAGGGGCAGTACCTCCTTCAATGTTCTACTTTCCGGCCAATGTGGCAAAGGTTAAATGTCTTTAAAGGAAAGAAGGAGAACCTAATCTGAGCAGAATTGAATCTAGCATTTGGATCAAGCCGCATTTGCGTGGCAGCGGCGCTGCGTCCCTCTCGCACATCTGAAACTAGCATTTTTTGATATGAAACCGGATGTGCAGAGGACAAAAAGGGGTCGTATCAGAGTCCATGTTTTGGAGGGGGGTCGTAAAGAGGCGGTTATTTCCTCGACACGATTTTCACCCTGCTTTCTTAGGTCTCCCGCTCCTTTTTTGGTACCGTAGGAGTCGATGCTGTTGCAGAATTTGCTCACCAAGTTGACTGATCGTCCTAATTTCCTTGAAATGCTGCGGTGGCTGAGTCCCATATCCTTGTAACCCGAATTTGGCCTTTCTCAAAGTCGTGTAGGTGCATTCCTCGTGGCATGGCACTGTAGAACAAGTGTGGGAAGTAGAGCAGTGACAAATTGGTTTCACAACTCACCTAAGTCAGAAACACTGCAGAAGAACCGAGTGTCCCTATACTTTTGGGACGCCATGATTTTAGAAAAAAATCATAAAAATCTGCAAAATTTTTCTTTCCAATTTCACTTATATATTTGTACCTGGTGTAATAGTGCATTGTAATAAAAATTTGAAGAGAAATCACTTGTTTATAACAGAGATACTCAAGAAAAAGTGTCCCTATACTTTTGGGACACACTGTACTATGAAGCCCCTGAGATGTTCTATCGAAATTTGACCAGAACATCAGGTTAGTTTGTATAGCTCATCCGAATTTCAAGAGTGATGCTGCTTCTGGTTGAGTGACCAACATGGGTATTGGGTTAGAGCATAATATCGTAGCGCTTGCGTTTTCATAGCAAGCAAGCATTTACAGAAAAAAATAATTCGTCATTATTTATGATTTCCATTTTCTATTTCGCAGAAAACCACCGGAGCTAGAATTCAAAGGAAGGTATTGGGTTGGTTCTCAAACTATTCACTATTCTCAATTTGCACAAGGATCTGGTCTTAATTTGTGCGAAAGAGTTAGGGTTGAATAAAGCATAGTTCGCGAAGAACAATGGATTGTGAGGAACTTTCAATATGACGGTTTCTTTTCTTTATTTGGATCGAAAAATAGCAACTGTCAAATCAGAGAGTACGAGCTCCGCATCGAGCCGCTCACGACAAGAAGGGACCAGCTAAGGGACAGACACTAATTTACACCCACTCCCATTTGACCGATGGCAATTCAACTCAACTCAAAGCCATCTTCTGTACCCCACTCCAGACAAAACCCCCGTGCTGTCGGGCATATGCACACTGCTGGCCCGAGTGCCAAAAACACGCTCATTCTCGTCCCTCTTCGTGTTATATACCAGATTGTACACGGCGGCCCGAGTGCCGTGTTCATTGACGTTCGCCTTTCTGGTGTGCTGTATGGTGTTGCACATGATAGAAAGTTTTCAAAGAATTCGTTCACGACACGATACGGACTGGGAGAACGGAACCAGACCAGGCAGTCTGGGGCCGAGAGGGCGACAGATAAGCGAAACCACATCCATAATCTTCCCTTCATTGATGGTTATTCCTGTTGCGTAGATTGGCCTTCGGGCCGGAGAGAGTATCGCGGCTAAGCGCGAGCCTTTAACAGATCATTTACATTTCACTTGGTTTAGCTATCCCTCATACTCTAGTTATGTATTGTTTCTCAACTTTATTCTTGTTCTATACTATTTAATCATTATACTTGTTTTATCGCACTCTCTTCCTTGTATTCTCCATGCATTGTGCCTTGCTTAAGTTGAGCTTTGTACAGACAGTTTTGTAAGCGTCGTCGAGCCCCTCATGCCGCGGCATACTATCTTACAATAACAAAGCTCCCGCTTCATGAGAGGCTCGAAGGCTTAGTTGAGTCTCTGTTCGTCTGAAGTTCTTCTACAGTTCGCCTCGGTTGGTCTGAGTTCGTCCTTCAGTGATCGTCCGCAAACTTCTTCCCTGTAGTGGATTGTTTTGGTCTCTGGGACCACTTGAAGGCTAGCCTCTTCCATCTTTGGAACCTTGCCAGACTATTCCACAGTGTTGATATTCTGGTTTATCTCTTCGTATATTCCAAGGTATATAAACATCGTGAGTTTAACTGTTTGAGACTCCTCGCAATACGGTTCATTCCTCTTACCTAATAGCGCGTGGCAGGCAGATAAAAGAACCATTCATCCAACTGTAGCACTACACTACAACCAGGTCAAGTCACGTTCGAACATTTTCGGGATTTTTGCGACCCCCTGTTTTTGTTAATAAGAGTGCTAGACATGAATCCGTTGCGCCAGAAAGCGTCTGCGCCGCCGCCGCAGACAGCGTCTGCATTGCGGCGTCAGCCTTGGAGCGCGGCAGGTATCACCCGGGCGCTGGAAGAACGGGACGCGGCGAAGAAAAAATTTTAGAGGGGAATAACTTTCTTGGGACGTATTTTTTTGACTTGTTGAGGTAGATTTTGATTGTGCCTGAGGTGCGCTTCCAGAAAACTACAAGGATTGCCTAACTCTCCGGAAAGTACTTCTGTTAGAAGTGGAAAACCCAAAATTCTAAGAAGGCGCACCTTCAACTTTGAAGGCCCATAAAATCTTTCGTATGCGACATTTTGGAAAGCTGTAAAAAGTTTCAGAAACTTCAAATTTCTCTAACAAAACAGTATAAAAAGTTTAGTGATTGTCCCCTTTTTCAAAAAATTGTCCCGTTCGAACATTTTTCGTGCAAAAGCGAGTTTTTGGGCTTTCAGCGACCATAACTCACTTCATTTTCATTTCTGTGATGCACTTTTTTCATGGGGTGAAAGTACAGGATTTGCTCTTTCTAACAAGCACCAAACCGTTTTT